TTGGAGTCAGAGTTCACAGTCTCACCATGCAGCCTACTGGGCAGGTTCTACTGCCATTCCCAGTCTACAGAAAACACTACAAAAAAGTAAGACCAGAGGCAGTAGGACCACTGGTAGACTCAGGCTTTGAACCCACATCTCACTGATCCCAGAGTCACTACCAGGTTCCAAATGGCCACATGGTCTCCCCAGGAGTCTCTCCTAGCTTTATGGTTACACAGATTTGGGGAAGGGCCTTCTCTGAACCTGCCCAGGATCAGGCCCATGGTCAGGGTCAGCAGGGCCCATTACATCCCACCTACTTAACAAAGGGGAAACTGAGGCCCTATGTAAAGGATCTGCTTCGTCACAAAGCTTTGTTGACTGAGCTCCCAAATTCCTCCCAGATCTGACCACTTGCTCTGAATGTCCCACCTCCTCACCAGGTTCCCAACCCTATCTTCACTCAAACACTGGAACCTCTCAGAGTCACATCATTTGTTACCCCCTCTCACATGCCCCCTGCTCAAAGCCATTCCCTAGTCCCCCAACCCTCCTACAACAAAATCCTACCTTCTCCATAGCACCTGCAAGGTGCTATGAAGGAGCTAGCCCAGCCCTGAACCCTTACTGGAACCTCATCTCCCCCCACATTCTCCTCGCCAAGCTTCCTCTGTCCTGGCTGCCTCCCTGCTTCTTCAAGGGCTGGGTTTGTTCCAGACGAGGCCTTTGTCAGTGCTGCTCCCTGGCCCAGTACACTCTTCTCCCTTCAGTTCCTGGGGATTTCCTCCTCAGTCTTCAGATCTCAATCTATTTCCTGGGAGGAGCCTCATGCCCCTCTCAGAGACCCCTGAGGCTCTGCTTCTCAATGGTCCTTAAACTGGTACAGAATAGACTGGACACTCAATGTGTCAGGACCATGACCTTGTGACTGAAAGCCCAGGGTGGTACCTGACAATTAATGGACACAGATCATACTGGCATGAGATCTGAGCCTTCCTGGACCGCCCCCACCACCCACAACGAGGCCTGGGCTGTATGCTGATCTGAAGGAGCACAGAAGGTTCCAGAGGAACTGGAACCTGAGCCAGTAGGCAGGAATTTGAGGGACAGAGCAAGGGAGTGATTTTTAGGCTTCCTCTTCGGTACAGCAAGACAGGTGGCCAACACCTAGCGTGGCTCTAGCCTGGTCCCACTCCATTTGATGCTGATCTGCTTGCCCCTTTCACTTTAACTCACAAGGGCCTGAGCCTCCAAAAACTCCACTCTCCACAGCTGGCCCCTCTGCAGACCCCCAGGCCCAGCTGCAGCTATAGGCCACACAGTCCTTGAGCTCAGTGGATCCCAAAAGAGCTGTAGACAACCTGGAGCCAGCTTCCTTCCCTGCCCTGGAGGAATGGCGGCCTCAAAGCTTGGATTGCTTCCCAGGCCTAGCCAGTCTTGGACTAAATGGGCAGTGACCTCTCTCCCTGGCCTGCTGGAGTGTGTGTCTCTATGTAAAGTGGGCAGCAGAGTTGATCCCACCTTGTAAATCTGGGGGGTGCCAGACAGTTGACTAGTGACCTCCTCTCCCCGCCTGTTTTCTCATCTGTAAATGGGGCAGTTAGGAGTCCTTACCTCAGGATCCTGAGGAGACTGTTTTTGTGTAAAGAGTTTGGTACTTAGTTAACATGAGTCCTGCCTTCCTTGAAGGAACATTTAACATGAAAAAGGCAGAGACTGGCGCACTCACCCTCTCAGGAGCACACCTGCACCTTTCCCTCCCATCACTTCTTGCCCACAAATGCCTTACCTTCCCCTTTCTTTCTATTAAGCTCCAAGGGCCCTTCTGTAACTCGTTTGCTGAGCCTATGCAGCCCAGCTGGCTCCTTTCCACTACCTCTGTAATTTTCTAAATAAACTTTCCCTTATAATTAAGAAGAAAGAGAAAAAGGAGAGAAAGAAGGAATGGAAAGAAAAAGAAAAGGAAGGGACTTGGGGGTGAGATAGGGGACAAGATAAGAGGGGAACCCACAGAGGAGCGAGTTAAGTGAGTGAACCTGAGCTCACACCTGAAAGTCAGGAGGGGCCGCTCTAACCCTCCCAGCTGCCTCTGGGAACCTCAGAGACAGCCACCGACATCACACAGGCCAGGGGCCACGAGAAGGGAGACCTTTCCAAAAGTGAAGGAGTTAGTAAGTGCAGATTTGGAAGGAGGCAGGGGAATGGCTGCACAAGGAACAGCCACATGACCTCGGCTCAGACACGAGGGTTTGGAAAGCAGGCTGCTGCGGGAGGTACCAGGTGACCAGTCCTTCAGTGTTAGAGGTCGGACAACTAGAGCCTACAGAGACCCTTCCAGCCCACGGTGGGCTGAAGGGCGGCTTGGAGGTAACGAAGGGTCACAACAAAGCAGAGCAAGTGCGGGGTGTGAGCAGGGCCAAGCAGGGTAGTTAAAGGGGGAGGGTGGATTCCTCCATTCGTGAAGGCTGGCACAGCCGCCCGTCTACGGAGTCAACAGCCACACGCGGGAGAAGTGTCTGGGGCAGACTAGCTGCGCAGCGAATGGGGAGGCGGTGCCGGCGCGCAGGGATGAAGCCAGGCTCCCGGCAGGACAGACGCGTTGGCTGCCTGCACCTTACTCACCTAGGGTCTGGGCCGGGGACCCGGTCGGGGCAGCCTCTAGGTCCAGCCCCGAGCCGAGCAGCAGCCCCAGCACCAGGCCCAGAACCGCGCTCCGCAGTGGTCCTCGCCGCGCCATCCAGCCTCTCAATGTGCCTCCCCAGCTCCACGCGGGGCGGAGCACAATCAGGGCCTAGAGTTAATCCCAGCGCCGGCGCAATTACGGGCCGGGGGCGGGGCCCGGGTCGGGGGCGGGGCCCGGAGGGCCTGAGGCTAAGCCTACCGTAAATGCCAGAATACCAGGAGACTCGTGATTTGAGGCTCTTCCGATCTTCTCCCAGTGACGCGGTGTAGCGAAAGGTAAGGGTAAGGGGGAAGGAGAATGGACATGAACTTGTCGGTGTCTGCTCACATTTAATGTTCTCTGTGCATTAAGTAAATGTACTGCCTAATTCTCTAACTCCCCTCAGGCACGTCCCACCCCCACCCTCCCACTGCTTCTTTCTTGCACCCTACACAGTAAATATTTATTTCCTTGTTTTGGTTTAGTGTCTGATCGTCCACTGAAATGACACGTCCAGGAAGGCAAGAATGCTGGTTTTGTGTCCGAAGTGCCTAGGACAGTCGTAGACTCTTAATATAGACCTTGGTTTCCATCCTCGGTCCTGACCCTGACACCTGGATGCGCTCACCCACACTCGCTGACTTAGCCCACATGTACCCACCTCAATAGGGAAGTATAAGTCTTCACTTTGGGAACAAGATATGTGAAGACAACCCTTGGGTTTTCACCTCTCACACTCACCCAGGAGGCACATAAAGCAATTTCTAGCTGATTTGGCTGCTGAGTTTTCTTCTTGAAAATACTTTTTACCTACAGCTCTGCCTTCAGAAGCAGCACGTGCAACTGCTGGCAAGATCCCATGGAGCCAAGTCACTCACTTGTCTTTCAGCGTTAGGACAACTATGGAAGTACTCACCACCCCCCAAGTCTCCTGGGAAGCCACACTAAAGCGTACAGGTTTTTGCAGAAGGGGCTCTACTTGCAGGTGGATGGCACACTCCACTATCTGAAAACATTGGAAGTTATAGCTGCTTTTGGAATAGTTATATTTTCTGAAAATAATCTCCCAGTTTCCCAGGGTAAGTGGTGTAAGAAGCAAAAATGTAGAGGCAGGTGGGAAGGGTGCAAATAGGACTGCGGAGTGGGGGTAGAGGGCACCCAGCCTTAGAGGCTCAGCACTTTGGTAAGGGAGACAGCTGGTGTCCAGGGAGAAAAGCTGAAGCCGTTCCTGGACTCTCCACGCCTCAGTTCTACTGTGGAGGTCTGACAGCAGCACTGACCCCACAAGACTGAAGGAGCTGAAATCCTGGATAGGAAGCATTCAGAACAGCACCTGGCACACAGAAAGCACTCAGGTGTCAGCCCTCTTTCCTCCACTCCCTCGAAGAACTTCAAGTCTGGGTCATAAAACTATTCTGAAACCTTCAGTGGCACACTCGGGGTCTTCTGAAGCCCTCCGGGGTTGCCCTCCTTGTGGTTTCCACACAACCTGCTCAACCTTCTATATCTTCCTGAATCAACTCAATTGCCCCAGTCAGAACCCCACCTCCTCCACGAAGTCTCCCAGGGGCTTGAGCCTATGCAGCTCTCCCTCTGATGAGCTTTGAGATTTTAGTATTTGAAATGCCCACTCTGGGACCCTTACACTTCCTGCCTGGGGCTGTGACCTTTTCTTGCCCTGCCTTGCTCCTCTGCCTTCTCCTGGCACTCAGCTGATCTCACCCTGCTGCGGGTTCTCTCATGGGGCAGCCGTGACACACATCCCTACAGGTCACTTCCTTTTGGCTTTGATTCTGCTGCTCATTCCTCCAAAGTCACAGGCCCTTTCCTTTCCATGCCTGACACTGCCTCACCACCCCTCTCCTCCTCTCCAGGTCCCTCAGGCCCTGAGCATAAAGGCTTCTGGCTCAGGGAGGCCTTTCCTCAACCACCCTAGGTGAGCCTTACTGGTGAGCCACCTTGCTCTCCTCTTGCCTTCAATGCTGAGCTGCAGGGTGGTCAAAGTCAGACAGGAGCCACAGTGGGAGGGTACTGGCCAATGTCCATATGAGCAACAGATGGAAAAGCTCTTGAGAGAGGTAAGTGAGCGGTGTGTTTGGCCCTGCTGTTCTTCACAGTCAGAGCCTCCTAAACCCTCTGAACCCCAACCCATCACTCTCAGGGAGAGACTCAGGCCCTTGGGCAAGGGACAGAGACAACTCAAGGCCTCCTGCACATGTCATCCATCTCTGTGACACGTTACCCAGAAGCCCAAGAACCACTCACTATCCCTCCCTGACCCTGGAGCGTATAGCACCAACTTCACCTCAAAATCCAAATAAACCCAGTGTCGCTTAAGAAGTAAAAATATAAGTGATACTGGAGAGCACGATATATTTGTCATAAGTTAGGTCACATTCTCCCAAGAGGGAAGACAAGGAGGGGAAGCATTCAGGTGGCTCTGGGGGCACAGTCAGGTGGTCCAGAGCAGTGTCACAGGTAAGGCTGGTCTTGGGACAGCTCCCACCTCTGCAGGGGAGGAGCTGGTGTCACTGCCTTCTTCTCAGTGGCTGCCACAGCTGAGCTGAAAGAGCAATAAAATCTTACCATTTGCAACAATATGGATGGACCCAGATGGTGTTATGCTCAGTGAAATATCATGCTCAGGGAAAGATAAGTACCTTATGATCTCACTTATATGTGGAATCTAAACAAACAAAAAGTTAAAAACCCAACAAGTTTATAGATACAGAAAACAGATTGGTGGTTGCCAGGGGTGGAGGGTGGTAGGTAAACAAAGGGGGTTAAAAGGTACGAACTTATATTTACAAAAATAAATAAGCCCTGGGGATATAATATACAGCATGGTGACTACAGTTAATAATACTGAATTGTATATTTGAAAGTTGTTGAGAGTAGATGTTAAGAGCTCTTATCACAAATATTTCACCTGTGTGAAGTAATGAACGTTAAGTAGACTTATTGTGGTGATCAATTTGCAATATATAAATATAGTCATTATGTTGTATACCTAAAACTAATGTAATGTTTTATGTCAATTATACCTAAATTTTTTAAAGAAAGAATACAAACTTACAAAACAACAATGCCTGGGACTCTCCCAGGCCTTTGAAAAGACCCTGGCCCTTCTTCTGAAGTGCAGGAGACCCACCCCTGGCTGAGGTCCTAATCCTGCACTCAGCTAGGTGGGGAGCAAATGAGTTTGCAGATGAAAGAAAAGCCTCTGTCCCCACCACAGCTGATGCTCAACTAATGGGACCCTGAAAAGCAGAAGAGAAAGGTCTGGCTGCAGGAGAGGTGTGTGGTGTTCTCACCTCTCTGCTGGCTTGCCCGACTCCAGGGCCTTCTGTGAGGACATGACGACCGAGGGTGGTATGGCTTCCCGGCGGCCATCACGAGTGCAGTAGTAATTGTTGGAGAGCTTGTGGCTGGGGCCCACAGGGAGTCTGGGAGGAGGCTGAGTTCTGAGGAAAAGGACATGGGCGTTAAAGCAAAAGCTGTCACTGCCTGGCTGAGAAGGGCCAGTCACCTGAGTCACTGGGACAGACTGCAGACCAGGAGTATCCCTTGGTTTGGAGGGACATGTATAGAGGGGCCAGAGCCTAGAAACAGGTGGCAGCCCAGGTTTTATATACGAAGGTACTGAACAGTGATGTCTGGGCCTGCCCCACTGCAGGTCCCCAACCTGCCCCAAATGTGGTGGGTAGGGAGGACAACCTTTTGTGAAACCCATGGAAGGGGTAGGCCCAGACGGAACACCTAGGCCTGTTCCCACCCCACCATGACCCAGAGCTTGGCAGCTGGCCTCATTTCTACCTGCAGATGCTTAGGAAATGAAGAAGCCAGGCTCTGCCCACCACCTATTCAGTAGTTAGTAAACAGTTGGGCAACAAGATCCAAACATAGCTCATTCTGCAGGGATTCCTCCCCAAAGGCTGACTACAGAACTCCTGGGTTTCCTGCTGTTTCAGGAACTCTCTGGAGAACCCTGCTGGGATCAAGGCTTGTTACTCAAAGTACACCTTGTACCCCAAACCTCCCAGGCCTTCATATTTCCTGCTACCTCGTGGTGGCTGCAGCCAGAGAGGGGGTGAACAGAGCTCTGTCCTGGCCTAGCGTAAATCCTGGGTGAATTTAAGAAAATAAACTTTATGTCTGATAATATTTCTGCCAGGATTTAAGTTTTTCTTAAAACAAGTGGTAGTCATATACTTTAAAAAAAAAGAAAGAGGTAAAAATAAACTTAAATTTAACACTTCAAATAATATCCTATGTGGATGTTCTAATTTGCTTAAATCCTGGAGTGCAGAGATGAACTATGTAGGAATGGTCACAGCTTTCAGCAAGTAGCACAGAAAAGGTACAAAGAACCAGTGTGGAGCTTTGCGCAGTGCGGCATCATAACCAGTGAGGTTTATCGGAAGTGTAATTATTGCTAATTTGGAGGAAAAAAACAACAAAGAAACAAAATCCAGCCCCCAACAGAAAGGCCCTAATAATCACTAGTGAGCACCATTATCCTAAAGAAGCTGAAGTTTTCAAAACCCTTTCCTCAGCGGGCCTAAACCCTGGATAGAAAAGCAGTTCAAAACTTTTGATACTAGGAATTAGTCACACCATGTAAGCATTCACATAAATTTGGCTATTTTAATGCTATTTCTGTTCCTTTCCTGCCAAATTTCCCAGGCTGCCTTAGCTTTGCCTGCGACTGACTTCATATATACTAACCCCCTTTCCTCCACGTGTTTCAGCCAGGGGGACTCCTTCCTACTTCTGGCTCTGCCTGGCCTCACAGGTTTGTGCTTACTGTACCCGCTGCCAAGAATGTCTTTTCAGTAACTATCCTTTGTCTCCTTCTCATAATTCAAGTGAACCAAATGTCAATTCCTGAATAGAGTTTTCCTGACTACAGGACCAGAGGTAGCCACCCTCCAGATTACTCATTGATTTTGCCTTCAAAGCATTCCAGAATGTCTTTTGTCCCGTGTTTATTTCCCTACTATGTTTGTCTCTCCCAAGGATATGAAGGAATGAGGTCAAGAACTTTGTTTGCACTGGTATCCCCAAGGAACTGAAATGACAAAGGCTTGTAAAATATCAAGTATTTGGAGACATAAATGAGTTTGAAATCAAGACACTTCAGGGTTCAAGTCCCAGGTGTCACTTTCTAGCTTGAGTGGCTTTAAGGGAATAATTTAGTCTCCACACCTCAATTTTTTTTATCAGTACCTTGGACATGATAACATTAACTGGCAAGGTCACACTGAAGAGTGCAAATCACAATGAGGTTTCCCAAACAGAATTCTCACCCAGTCTGGCTGTTTCCAAGAACAGCAGTTTACATCAGAAGTCCAGCAAGACTGAAGGCAAACCCGCCTGCGCAGCCTCCCAGAAAGCTGGCGACAGGATTTTTGCCCAGGTTTCAGGCTTCTAAAAGAGCACGGGTTTTGTTTTCGATGGAGGAAAGGCTGGACTGGGTGAGGGTTTGAGCAGCTAGCGGGGCGTGCTCACCGCTTGGCGATCTCCTGGTAACGCAGCTGCAACTTTGCCTGCAAGTCTTGCTGTGGGAGGAGGAAAGGAAGGTCAGCCAAAAGGGAACCTCAGGGAAGGAGAGGGACAGCCCAGGGGTAGATAAACGAAGGGAAGACGACGGAGGGGCCGTTAAAGACAAAGATACGGGCCTTGTGAAGAGCAAAGTAGGGGGCCGAGGCCATCAGATCCCAGACTAGTAAGGTCTGGAACTAGGGAGATGCCAGGTCTGGTGCGGCTAAGGCCTGGGGGTTGGAGGCGGGTTTGACCCTGGCTGAAGAGGTCAAAAATTGGGGGTCCCGGTCTGATCCAGGGGTTGTGGCCAAGAGGGATCTCGGCACTAAAGCCCTCAGACCCCGGGTGCAAGAGGGAGTAAAAAAAGCGGGTCCTGGGCGCATGGAACTCCCAGCCCCACAGTTCGGCCCTTCCAGCCCAGCGCACCCCAGAGGTCCAGTTCCGTAACTTCTGGATGAACCGAGTAGCGGACGCCATCCTCCTTCCACACTGAAGGGCGCCGGCAACGTCACTTCCCCCGAGGGCTTGCCGGGAAGTGAGTGCAAGGTCTCGCGAGAGCGGGGAGGGCGGGGTCCGGACGCCGTATAAAGGATCTCCTCAAAGCACGTGATTCCTCTCCCCCGAACCGCTGCCGCCATCATGGACACGAGTCGTGTGCAACCTATCAAACTAGCCAGGGTGAGGTGGGGTGTCGGTCTTGAGGGCCGGAGTGAGGGGGTAGGGGTAATCAAGTGGACCAGGTCTGACTCTCACTTCTTCCGCAAGGTCACCAAAGTGCTGGGCAGGACCGGTTCTCAGGGCCAGTGCACGCAGGTGAGCGGGTGGAGGCGTCCGGGTTCCTGGGGGTCCGAACCCTCACCAAGGCCCTGCCAGCTGGGTCTGAGGTCTGGTGAACTTCTTCTTGGGTCAGCTGGTCCCAGCGACCATTGCGCTCCGCCGAGTATGATCTCATCCCCGGACCCGGACCCGCAGCTGCAGTTTTCCCCCTCGTGGCCGGCTTTGGCGTTCGAGAACTTTATTCGCCATGTTTCCTCCTTTTTCAGCTTTTTTCCCCGGCCTGGCCCTACCTACCTGCTAGCCAGCCCCAGGCCCCTTTTAAGTATCCCTGGGACAGCCTCTGTATGCCTTTAACCCGCATTTCCTGCCCTCCCCATGATTGTTATCCTTGGCCGGCCCACCCTCTTTTCCGTTCTCCCTTCGTGGGCCCATCAGGTGCGCGTGGAATTCATGGACGACACGAGTCGCTCCATCATCCGCAACGTGAAAGGCCCCGTGCGCGAGGGCGACGTGCTCACCCTACTAGAGTCAGAACGAGAGGCTCGGAGGCTGCGTTGAGTTGGCGTCTGGTGAGTGCAGTACTGGAGTGGGGAAACTGAGAGCTGGCCTGTTAGTTGGTGGGTAGAGAGGCTTTGCCGTGCCCACGGGTGAAGAAGGGCTCTTGGGAGTGGGGTGGGGATGTAGAAAAGGGCTACTGAAACTAGTGAAGCAGGCGAGGGAATTGTCTGTTGCTGGGAGGCCTGTCAGCATCTCATGCTTGGATCTGTTTACAGGGTCCTGGATGTCTAGGTGGAAGACATGGCCCCTGGGGATGCCATTTGACTGTTAATAAAAGCATTTGTATTGCGTGTAAATTCAAGTTCTTGTCTGAGTTGTCCCTAAGCCTATAAAACCTTCCAGCGGGGCAGCTAGGTGGTCACAGACCCTTTTGCATTCTGGAAAACTGGGGGAGAGGGAGCAACAAAGCATTTTCTTTTTGAGAGGGAACCGTGTGTTTGTATATGTTCCTAAAACAAGATACAGGTTTAGCTAAAAATGTTTTATTAGGGAAGAACGTTGGACCAGGTCTAGCAACTGGACAGCAAACCCTGGCCGCTTCTTCTCCCCTCCCCATCCACGTTCACTGTGCGAGGCCACTCACTGAGTCTGGGGGTCTTCTCCATTGTCACTGCCTTCACTTACACCAGGCATGGCAGTGGGAGAGTCCAGGGGTGACTGGTGAGAAGGGGTAGGGGAGTCCTGTCACAATCTCTTGTGGGCAGGATGGTGTGGGTTTCTGCTGCCTCAGACTCAAGGATGCTTAACAGTGGAGGTCTTGTTCCTTTCCACAAGGAGGTCAATTCTAAGGAAAAACTCCACCCTCCACAGTGGAGCCAGGATTATGTAGATACTGAAAAGGGTCTGGCACTTGCCTTCTGAGTATCTCTACGTTTTGGGGACAAACTTGAGTGTTCCCCTCTCCGCCTGCTGCTGGTACGCTCATCCAGTCTCCAGTTCTGGAGCACTCCCTTGCAGGGGACCTGCGTCCTCTTCCCCCCAACAAGCCTAATGCCAGACTCCCTAATTCCTTAGTGATGAGCTTCCTTGGGGGCAGTAACAGGAGTTCATGAACAGAGAAGCTCTAATAGCTCTCCTCTGATCATGGGTCTTTCCCTCTGTAGGCCTCAGGCTCATGACCTATAAAGTAGAGGACTGTCCCAGCCACATAGGCGATCCATGGTTCCCTGATAACCACCCCGCTGTTGCCCTAGGGGTGCAGAAAGGGAGACCTTCCTAGAGCACACATGGTAGCCTCCCCCAATGTACAGCTGTAAATTTTGTGGTTTGGTACAGGAACTGCACTCACCAGGGAACCAGGCTGGCCCGAGCTCAGGTGGGCATGTAGCAGAGTGGCCACCTCATCCTGCTCAGCCTCCAGGGCCATGGCCAGGGCACTGGTGCCCTCCTGAAGAATAATAGGGATGGTTAAGTCCTTTAACCAAGGCATGGGCAACCTGCCACCTCCACCAGCCCTACAGAGGCTCACATTATCCAGGAGAGCAGGGTCGCAGCCTGGCTGGGCCAGCAACAACTGGACGGTTTCCAGGTGCCCGTACTCACTGGCACACATCAGCGCTGTGGCCCCATCCACATCTTGCACATTGACGTCTGCCCCACATGCCAGCAGGGCCGCCACCATGTCCTGTCGGCCATGGCTGATGGCCAGCATGAGGGCTGTCTGCCCTGTCTGAGGAGTGAAGAAGAGGACAGAGCTAGGTGGGCTCTAGGCAAAGGGAGGTCAAAGACGGTTGGCTCCTGAAGTGGAAGTGACCTCTGGGCTTGGAGCTAGGGAAGGTGTCCACCCACCTGGCTGGCCTTAGCATTGACGTTGCCCATGTGGAAGAGTCTCTGGACCACAGCCATGTCCTTGTGCCCCACGGAGGCAAGTGCAGCCAACATGAGAGCTGAGTAGCCTGCTCGATTCTGAAGGTCAACCTTGCAGACCCCTGGGAGAAAAGGGGATTGATCAGTCAACTGAGAGGCCTCCACACCCCTAGCCCAGCCTGGTCCACTCACCTCTCTCCCAGTGTCAGTTTCATGGGTAGTTATCATGGGTCATGGATTGACTGTCCCCTTTGTCTGCTTGGCTCTCCTACCAAGAGCCACATAGCTCCTCCCTTCCCCCCCCTTCAGTGTTCTGTGCAGATCTCACCTTAGTGAAGCCCTCCACTCCCTGCTTCAAAAGTGCTGTGGGAACTTGGTTTTTGTTGCTGTGTCTCCCAGTAAGACCATACCTGGCACACTGCAGTCGCTCAATGAGGAATATTTTCATGACTTCTACCTACCAAGCCACCATCATTGTTCTCCTAGAGTACCGTACCAATTGGTCCAAATCCCCTAGTTTCCATACAGCAGTCAGGCAGATGAAAACAAATTTGGCTGAGCTCCTGTGGGCCCCATTGCTCCTGAAATATAGGCCATGGGCCACCATGTCCTCTGAGGCTCTGTTACATAACTCCTGTTGTCTCTCGGGGATTCTCCCCTGCCCTGAGCCCATATTATAGATTGAATGCTCCCCAAAATACATTGAGGTCCTACACACTCACCCCCCCATACAATAAATGTGACCTTATTTGGAAACTGTCTGCATTTGAGATCGTTATGGTGGACCCTAAGCCCTTATGATTGTCCAAGGAGATGGGGAACAATGCATAATGGTCTCATGAAGTCAAGGATTGTTGGGGTTGGGGGATAGGAGACAGCAAGTTGACACCTTGGAGAGGTGGAAGCTGAGAAATGGGGTGCTGGAGAGAGGTGGTGGAGAGTGGGGGTAAAAGGGTCCAATGGGCCTTGGGCCTCTTATGAATGACTACCATGCCTGCCTTGCCATCTGCCACAGCCACCCTCTCCCTTAAGGCAGGAGGTGCCCAGGAAATAACTCAAATTTATGCATCGTCTCCTCCCAAGCCCCAGTTCCCTGACCAGCCAAGATCTGCAGGGATGGGCCCTGGCTGGTATAGCTCGGTGGATTGAGCATGGGCTGTGAACCGAAGGGTCACCGGTTTGATTCCCAGTCAGGGCACATGCCTGGGTTGCAGGCCAGGTCCCCAGTGGGATCCACATGAGAGGCAACCACATATTGATGTTTCTCTCTCTTCCTCCCTTCTCTGTCTAAAAACAAGTAAGTCAAAAAAAAAAAAGATCTGCAAGGATGGGAAGAATCGGTTTAGGGATAGGGGAGAGGACAGAGCACAGGCATCCCAGTGGTGGGCCCCAGAGGTTACTGGACCTGAAGGAGGGCACTCAGAAGGGCTCTTGCTGGGCAGTTGGTTTGTCTGCTGTCCATTGTCCCATCTGCTGAGTCCCATGGGAAAAGCAGCTTTATGTGTGGCCCACTCCAGCACTGCACCTTGTACCTAGTAGGCTCTCCATACATATCTGAGGGCTGAGCAACACCCTGGAGCTGTGTATCTACTCCAGCGGCTGGGATGGAAATGTGTGAGATGGAACCAGTAGAGGGCAAGGCACAGGGCCAGCCCAGGGTGGTAGTTAAAGCCCTGACCAGTGAGTACCTTCTTCCCTCAAGACCTGAGTGGCAGATTGATGGACATGGGGGCTCAGGGACTAGGTATGCATGAGGGCTGGAGATTCAGGTACAGGAGTAGTGACCATTAACTAACCATCTGCATACCTAACACTGCTCTACATGTGCAGCCACAGCTGCAGAGGGAGGGAAGCAATACATCCCGATTTCACAGCTGAGGAAGCCACAGGCTGGTGAGATTAAATAATTCCCCTAGATTTAGGTTGACATAATTCAAAACCCTGTAATTCCCTCCCCCAGGAAACAGTGAAAAAGATCAGGAGCCCAGAGCTTCGAGAGGTCAATCCATGATGGATCCTGATACCTCCAATGAAGGGCTGACGACGCCATTTGCTTGGACAGCCCTCGGCATGCTTCTCCAGGTTTTCCCAGCTGGGACCTGTCCAGGCCCTCCTTGGTGCCCCTTACCCATTATCTGATACCCTGCCCACCCCTCCTGCATGCTGACCAGTATCCAGCAGCAAGCTGGAAATGGCCAGGTTCCCATGGGAAACGCTGTAGTGCAGGGCTGTGTTTCCGTTGCCATCTGCCAAGTTCACCACATGTGCCAGCAGCTCCGGTCCTAGGCGCGCCACAGCGCCCAGGACCTGGGCTACAGGCTCTGCCTGTGAACGTCGTTGGCTAGACACTCGAAACCACTCCATGGCCACCAGATGCGCTGCGCCCTGCTGGGACAGGGAAACGCATCAGCCACGGTCCCAGCTGAGGCAGGGAAGATGGTCACTGCTCATCTGAGGAGGGCCATGGGGACACATGGGGCTGCAACCCTTTGGAGAAGGGAGTACAAGGTGGTTCCCAGGCTCATGGAACAGGATTCTGGGACGTGGGAAATCCTGGAGGAAGGCAGTGAGCATTTGTGTTTGAGGAGTCCAGGACAGAGCTTGGGACTTGGAACAATGCTTGGGGCGCGACCCTTTTAGGGAACCAGGATCAGAGATGTCCTTTTCTCCCAAACAACAATTTATCAAATATGTAATTAAAGTTTCTGCTTCTCTTACTCCCCCCTCCCCTCCCCTCCCCAAAATAAAATTAGCGCTGTCCTGGGGCAAAGATCCCTTTGGAGAGCCTGGGATTGGTGGAGGTCCCTGACGGTGGGGGACAATTCAGGACCCTCCCCCAACTCTAGGCAACCGAGGCACTTCCCTAAGGATGTCAGGGGAAGTCCCTGGCGGGCCCACGACTTCATCTATAAAGGGCTCGCCTCACACTCACACCATCGCAGGGGACTCCATGCCGCTGGCTCAGCTGTCGCTGCAGCGCAAGGCACGCCTCCCTCAATCGTGGGCTCAGTTCGCACCTGTTGAAGAAATCGGAAGAGACTCAGGAGTGGTGGGAGCGGGGATGTGGAAACTGGAAAGAAAACAACTGTCCCCACTCCGATGTCCCTGGTGCTGCTCACCTCCCCTGTGCACCCAGCAGAGGCTCTGTCTCCGAGTCCGGCTCAGGCTCCGGGGCAACCCCACCACTGGGAGGGCCAGAGGTGCCAGAGTCGGATCCCTGGCTGCTGTCATCCCCAGAGCCAAAGGAGTTTCTCCCCGGGGGTTCAGCAGCACCATCCTCGCTGTCACTGTCTTCCTCGCTGGATGAACTCTCGTACCTGGGGGCAGGTTGGGAGACATCTACTGAGCCTCCCCTGTGGGCTCATTCTGGAGCCCTGTGAGATGGGAGTGGCTGTCCCTATTTCTCAGATGAGGAAACTGAGGCTTGCCAAGACCGCACTGCAAGAGAGGGGCAAAGCTGGTTTTCTAACCCCAATCTATATTCCCTCAGATGCTGCCATGGGGAGGGGGAAAATGCTCACTCTCCGTTGGGGACTCCAACAAACTGCAGGCTTTTCGGTCCAGGGCTGGGTTGGGTGCCATCTCTCCTTTTCATGATGGATTTAAGGATGCCTGCCAGGAATCAGATTAAGGTATTGAGTTCGAGTCCGGTGACCAGCAAGCCAGGCCTCCCAGAGGGGTCAGGACTCACCAGTGGGCACAATGGCCCTGTCTGCATCTGTGAGTACAGGTGTGTTCTGCATCAGAAAAGGGGCCTCTGTGGGAGGATCGGTCTGCGTGGCCTTCTCAACACAATCCCATGGGGTCTGGGTGGCAGCCTCATGCAGCTGAGACCCAGCCGCTGCCTCCTTCGCATCCTTGCAGGCCAGTTCTCCCAGCTGCCTCCGCAGGAGCTCGCTCACCCCACACTGGTGCTCCAGGCTGGTGCGCAGCAGCTCAAGCTCACGCTCAGCTGCAGGGGGCAGCCCCAGCAATGCCTCGGTAACCCATGAGTCCGCCTCAAGGGTCTTGGGGGTTGCCTCCACACTGGCTTCCTGGGTCTCTGGCACTGCCTGGGTTCCCGCCTCTTGGGTCCCCAGCACGGCCTGGGTTCCAGGATCCCGTGCCTGGGGTGACCTGTCGGGGCTCCCCGCTGCCCCGTCGAGGGACTGGAGTGCGTCCTTTCTGTGCCACCGAGCTTCCTCTTCAGGGCCGTCCACCTGGGGGCCCGTCCTGGCCCGCAAGCCGCGCTCAGAGGTGGCTAGGCGTTCGGTGAGCCGGCGCAGCTGTGCGAGCTTGTCCGGGCACGCTTCGACCTCTTTGTTGGGTTCCCGCTGCCTGCGCACAGCCAGCAGCCTCTCCTTCTCCGCTCGCAACACACGCACCTGCTCCTGCAGCTCCGGTAAAGCGCGCGCCTGGTCCTCGAGCTCGCGCAGACGCTGCAATGCTGAGGCCATTTGTTCACGCACAAGCTGCAGTTGCACTGGGCCGGGCGAGGCCAGGGCGGGGTTGGGGGCGGAGATTGGGACTGGGCTGCTAAGGCTTGAACCACTTGGACTGAACTCGGGCTTGAGCGCTTGCGCTAGTTCCAGCCGCCTGCTAGTCTCCAACAATGTGTCCTGGACACGCGGGTTGCGCACAGGCGCGCGAGGTGACAGAGGCGGCAGGAACCACGAGGGCACACTCGGGGAAAGTGAGCCCGAAGCTCCCCCGTCGTCACTGACCAGGGACTCTGTGGATGTCCAGAGCTCAGGGCTGTGCGCGCCCGAGAGGCCGGTCCGGGGAACACGGAGATGGCGTGCCTGCTGGGCTCCTGGTACGCGACGGGCGATGGAACCACGCTCCAGCTCCTCCACGTATTTAAGGAAGTCCAGGTCCAAGTGGAAGCCATAGGGCGTCTCCACTGCATACGGCGAGCTCGGGCTACGGGCCCCACCTGTCGGGCAGGGGCATGGGCGAGGGCCGCCCAGGTCTGAGGGTATGACAGGGGCGTGAGGGGCGTCAGTCCAGGGGTCCCTGGAACAACTGGATAAATGGAGTGCATCCCCCACCCCATCACGACACTCTGGCAGGGCTCCACTGCACCAAACTCTGCACACCTGCCACTGAACACTTGAAGTTCAAATGCCTATGTGCACCCAAATAGTCATGCAAACACGTATTTATTGAGCTCCTAGTATATGCCAAGCACTTCTCTAGACTGGGGACAAAGCAGCAAACAAGACAAAAAAAAATCCCTGCCCTCTTGCAGGAGACAGATACGCACAATCATTACAAATGGTGCTTAGGGCAAATAATAAGATGAAGCAGAGCCCTGGCTGGTGGGCTCAGTGGATTGAGTGTGGGCCTTCGAACCAGAGTATTGCAGTTTGATTCCCAGTCAGGGCACATGCCTGGGTTGCAGCCCAGTTCCAGCAGGGGATGCATGAGAGGCAACCATACATTGATGTTTCTCTCCCTCTCCCCTTCCCCTCCAAAGATAAATAAATTTTTTAAAAAATGAAGCAGAGAATAACCAGAGGACCCATGACTTTGGCTCTAGTCAGCACAGGTTTCCTGTGGAGGGGACTTATAAGTTGACCCTTAAGTGATAAGGAGGCATCAGCTGGGGACAGAAGGTTCCTAAAAGAAAAGAGCCCATGCAAAGGCCCAGGGGTGGAGTGAACAGGGTGGGCTGAAATAACGGGTGGATGTGACAGTGTGCAGAGCAGAGTGATAGAAGATGGGGGAGAGTAGGGAGAGGCGAACTGGGGCCAGACAGAGTGGACTCCCAGGCCATCCTGAGGAGCTGGATTATATTCCACATGTGATAGGGTAGCACAGGAGGGTTTTAAACAGGGCCCAGACATTACCCAAAGGAAGGTTAGAAAGGGCCCTTGGGCCACCGTGCGAAGGAGTGAACTGCAGGCTGTGTCCACACACCAGAACCAAGTGCGGATCTGCGTGCACACACGTATCCCATTTTGTACACTCACCAGACAGGTTCTGGTTCAGGGCAAACTTGGCCATGTCTCCTGGAGTACCCACCAGACACACCCTGAAAAAGGACCCAGAGTGGGTAAGGGTGGAGTCAGGCCCTGACCCTCCAGCTGTGCCTCTAGGGTTAGCCTGGATTCTGAATAAGTAAACAGACTCCAGAGCTCCTCTCCAGCCAGCCACCCCCTCTCCACAGTGCCCTTTCCTTCCCTCCTCCCTCCTCTCTCTAAAGGCCTTGAAACTTTGGATGGATGAATATGGGGATACCCAGGTGCCAGGCCTCAGCCTGCTGGGCAGGAGGAGGCAAGAATGGCATCAAAAGAAGAGATAAAAGTGATTAAAAAAAAAAAAAAACAGAGTAGCTGGGGGTGGAGCGGGGATGGGTGTCATTCCAGACCTCTTGAATTTTTTGTCAATCCCTGGAGAAAATCAGAAATTAATGGTGAAAGGGATGGATTGTGAACCTTCAGAAGAGGAAGGGCAAGAATTGGAAGGACTTCATGGGCTCATTAAGAATTCACACCCTGGCTGGTGTAGCTCAGTGGATTGAGCGAGGGCCTGCGAATCAAAGGATCGTGGTTCGATTCCCAGTCAGGGCACATGCCTGGGTTGCAGGCCAGTTCCCTGCAAGCCAGTTCCCAGCAGGGGACGCACAAAAGGCAACCATACATTGATGTTTCTCTCCCTCTCTCCTTCCCTTCCCCTCTAAAGATAAATAAATTAAATCTTTAAAAAAAAATAAGGGCTGTGTGTGGCTCAGTGGACTGAGAGCTGGCCTGTGAACCAAAGGGTCACTGGTTTGATTCCCAGTCAGGGCACATGCCTGGGACTGTGGGCCAGGTCCCTGTTGGTGGCATGAGGCAGCCACACATTATTGTTTCTCTCTTTTTCTCCCTCCCTTCTCTGTCTAAAAATAAATAAATAAAATAAATAAGTAAATAAAATCTTTACCAAAAAAAAAAAAGAACTCACCTGGTCAGATTCTTCAGATTAAAAAACAAACAGCCATGGCTGGGTAGCTCAGGTGGAGTCCCAAGGATAAGCCAAGCTGTGGGTTCGATCCCCTATCAGTGCATATATAAGAATCAACCAATGAATGCATAAATAAGTGGAACAACAAATTGATGTTTCTCTCTCTTAATAAATTTAAAAAGAAATAAAAAATACACAATCACTTGAAATTTTTCCTTAGACAAATGCAAACAAGATGCATATGAATTTTTACCAAGGTAATTTGTGAGACCCTTGTAGGAAAGTTGGGAGAGTTGTGGGCCAGATGAACTAAGGATGCGAATCAGTGGATACCTGCTCCTGTGGAATGTCTAGTGGAGTGCCACAAGGCTCTGCCCTTGGCTTGTAAGAAGAGCTCGTAACGGAACCACAGCACACAGGTTGTCAGAGCTGACGCTATACCTGGGGCTGGAGGGAGAGCAACTTTCTGGGTAATGTGATGGAGGCTCTAAGAAACTGAGGGGGATTAGGGCACATCTAATAATGTGATATTTAACAAGGACAAATAGAGTCCAGAACTTTGACTCAGAGAGCACAGGGTGAGAAAGATGCAGCTTTGAAGAGCCCACATGAGAAACCTTCAGGGAAAGGCAAGCTGCCCATATCAAATGCCTATAGGCTGTATGCCCTGCTTGATTAAATGTAACCCCATGCAATCCTACGAGGTAGATATTATTCACATTTTCCAGATGGGGACACTGAGGCACAAAGCAGTTAACTGCCTGTGGGAAACACCCTCAGATTGGGCTCTGCTTATTTTCTAGGGACCCTTGCCTACCAGACCCAATCTGTCTTCTCCCTAAACCACTGCTCATCTGGGCTAAACTAACTAGCTGGCAACCTTCCTGGTCACCCCTTGTGGCTCTAGTTGTCAGCACAGGTTTCCTGTGGAGGGGACTTATAAGTTGATCCCTAAGTGATAAGGGGGAATCATCTGGGGACAGAAGGTTCCTAAAAGAAAAGAGCCCATGCAAAGGCCCAGGGGTGGAGTGAACAGGGTGGGCCTCTTGCACTCCTGACGACCATCCGTGTCCCTGATACTCACCCACCCATCTGTCCACCTGATTCACTGTGCTCCACTGTTGGAGGCACCCTTCCACTTCCCATCTTTGTCCAGCCTGGATCCCTGACTTCCCCCACCCACTCCAGGCCAAGCAGGGCCCCTTCCGGTCCTGAAGCAGCTGTTTCCTGTCCCTTTACAATGGCTACAGGGGGCAAGCCAGAAGAGCAACTGGTCATCACAGGGAACATCAAGTGCCTCTCAGGACTTGTTTTTAGGAAACTGCCGGGGAAGAGCTGGGCCGTGGGAAAGGCCTGGGTGGGGGATTAGAAGTCTGGGCCTGCCTCAGTTGGGGTCAGCCCCCTCCTCCAGTGTCCTGGTAACATCGAAATCTGAGGTATGGGGAACTCAAAGAACAGTTATGGGCCATCCTTAAGACCCAAATCAGGTGCAGCAGAGGGACCCAGAGGCTGGGCTGAGAAATGGGCAGGCGCTCCAAGAACAGTAAATAATAATGAAAACAACACTTTTTCTATTTTCTACCGGCCAGCATCAATTCTGGGCAATCTGTGGGTATTAATTAAAAATTTAAAAATCCCAGCTAAACCCTCTGAAGCAGGTTTTCTTACTGTCATTCTCTTTCCCTCCATTATACAGATGGCGAAACAAAAACAGAAAAAATGATCTGCCCAAGGTCACATACAGGCAAGGGCAGGATTTGAACCCGGGTAGCTTTGCCACTGTTCTGCATTTTCCACGCCACGTGATGGCCTTCCATAAAGAGTCCTCCCCTCCCCGACCCTCCCAGCCTACAGCCCTGCCTGTCCACGAGTGTGTCTCTGGTGGCGAGGAGCGGGCTCACATCCCGGTGGCTCCGAGGGCTGCAGCCTCACCAGATTGGGGGCGTGGGGGCGTGCATCTGCCCTCGTCTCTCCTCCGCTCCCTGCCCGAGCTGTCACATCTAGATCCGGATCCTCTGCTTGAGGACCCCTCATTAGACCGTCAGAGCCGACGCCAGACGCCCTCACTCCAGCCCCAGGAACTATTTCGGAACTCGGAGCTGTGATCACGGAATATGAAGAATGCGGGCTTCGGATCCTGGGAGGGCACTTGTTCCCTGCGTGGTGGCCCCCCCTAACATTGGGGCGGAACTCTCACACCCCTGAGGTGGGGGTGGAGGCTGATGATGGTGTGAGGGGTAGATATTCAAGTCAGCACCCACCGCCCCCTCGCCGTCCCCCAAGGACGGCCTCGTAGAGACAGAGGAGTTTCCTACAGGAAACGCCACAGGGCGGTTCCATCCGCTGTCCATTGTCTGAGGGCCCGGTGGCCGTCCGTCCCTCCCCCAACACGGTTTCCGTATCACCCCCCACACACCCAGATGCAGCGCAAGGGGGTCGTGCACCCGCGTCCCCCAGCTGTCCGGGAGGGACACACGGGGAAAGGGTCTCGGAGTCGGTTGGGGAACTAGGGGACGAATAAGTCCCCATCTGGCTCCTGAAGGGCGGGAGGAAGGCAATCTCACGAATCCAGAGCCCCCCACTGTGCTCACCGCCCACCCGGGGCTCTCAGCGTAGGAGGGGTCTCAGACAGAGGACGCGGCACCCGCCCCGTCGCAGGGCGCTAAGCTCGCAGAGGGGCTGAAGGGGCAGCGCCCCCGCCCGGGGCGTTCCCTGACTCCCCCCGCCCCAGGTCCCGCAACCGTGCCCCCGCAAGCAGGCGATTTACCTGATGCCGCAACCCCTGCCGCGCCCGCACCCGAGCCCGCCCCCTCGAAGCTGGGGAACGGGTTATCAATGCTTTGACCCTAACTGACGGTCACTCCAGCCAACCAACGCGCGACACTCTCTGAACTGTCCAATAATGAGGCTGAGTGGGCGGGTGCAGTGAGTGTAAGGCACTTTGGCGGGCGGGACCTGGTGCGAGGGTTCCTGAGGGCGGATGGGGCAGAGAGCTGCTGGCCAGAGCTTCTCGGCGCGGGGCTAAGGACCCTGGATTTGATCCATTGACGGTCAGAGAGCCATGGGAAACCTCTGAGCAGTAGAGTCACTGAGGTATTTGTGCGTTTGAAAGATCCTTTGGGTAGAAGCTGGAAAGACTGATCCCAGAGTCTGGGTGAGGTGCCAGAACCCTGGATATTTCCCACCGCAGGGACTTTGCACATGCTGTTCCACCTTCCTGAACTGTCTTCCCTGCACATGTCTCTCCCACTAGTGTCAGCACCATAACGACCGGGAACTGATTTATTTTGGTCACTGCTTTATCCAGTATCCCACACACAGTAGGTGCTCAACTTTGTTGAACTTGTGATTTTAAATTACATTTAATACTTTAACCCACTTGTAATATATTGTGATCTAAAGTGACTGTAGGGATTTTTTTTCCCTGACTTTTTAGCATTTCTGAGCACCTACTCTGTACCTGGCACTGTGTAGGTCCCTAAGGGGTCACAATCTCTGCCATCCTGGACTTCCAAGATGAGAAGCAGAGGCAGAGTTTTAAGCTAAAGTTTATGGTAAGGGGAATGACAGATGGGAGCTGGAGTCTATGAGAGAAGAGGGGGATAAATTCCTGACCTGGAGGGTGTGGAGAGGCAGCCTGCAGGGGTAACACTTAAGGAAGAATGCTCCAAATAGGAGAAAGTGCATGTGCAAAGGAAGAGAAGAAGGAAACTCCCTATATCAGGGATTCGACTTGGTCAATGTGTTGGTGGGAGGGGAGCTGAAGGGACAGATAGAAATGCAAATCTGAAGCTCTTAGACTTTAATCAGATGGAGCATATTCAGAGGCAAATTATTTATTCCAGATTACTCTATGTTTGTCCCAGTGCTAGTCCTCTTTAACTACTGTATCTTTAGAGTGTATTTCAGTATCCAATATTCCTTGCTCTACCAAATTCCTGAGCTATTCTATTGTGTTTCCTTCTTGCAGACAAACTGTATATAGAAATTTGTTGAATTTCCCCATGAAAACTCCACTGAAATTTTTAAGATATTGTTTTAATATTTATTTATTTTTAGAGAGAGGGGAAAGG